ATACGGTTTTCGCCCTGGTATCTCCACTGAAGATGCTGTACTGGATCTAACACAATATATAGCTGAAAATATGGACCACAAAGAGAAATGTCTTGGTATTTTTCTAGATCTGTCTAAGGCGTTTGACACAGTCTCTGTTCCCTTGCTAATCACGAAACTTGAGCGCCTCGGAGTCCGTGGTATGGCCTTGGATATTTTTAGAGATTATCTTACCAATCGCAAGCAAGTAGTAAAAATTGATTCCTACTTAAGCGACGAAAGGACTATTAATTACGGTGTACCTCAAGGGAGTATACTTGGTCCCATTCTATTCCAAATTTATGTAAACGACCTTTGTAAAATGACCCTCCCAAACTGTAAAATCTATGCATATGCTGATGACACTGCGATTATAGTTAAAGGTTCTACCTGGGAAGAAGTCAAGATAAAAGCTGAATATGCCCTCAAAAGTATCATGAAATGGTTGAAACTAAATCTTCTGACACTAAACATCAACAAAACTGCATACATCCCGTTCACTATTCGCCGCAGAAATAAACCTCCAAACTCATACTCAATAATTGCCCACACATGTACGCACCGATAATACAATGTTCCTGTGCCCCTCTTACAAGAACTGACACTGTAAAGTATTTAGGCGTTCAAATTGATGATGGATTAAGGTGGGATGTTCATATAAACGCTCTCGTCACTAGAATAATGCGACTAATCCACACTTTTAAACTACTTAGGGAGTCATCTAACCTAGAAATTCTAAGAATGACCTACCTCGCTCTATGCCAATCGATCATTGGATACTGTATTGCTGCTTGGGGCGGTGCAAGTAAAGCAAGTCTTCTTAGGGTTGAGAGGGCACAGAGAGCTGTACTTAAAGTTATTTTGCGAAAACCCTATAAATACCCAACTTCCCAAGTCTATTCAGAAACTAACGTATTGACGGTCCGACAGCTCTTCGTGCTCATGTCGACTCTGAGAAGACACAAGAACGTTAGCCCATCAAATTCAAATAAACGAACAAACCTTCCACCAAATGTGCAACACAGAACCTCGTTTGCTAAAAACCAATTCTTTGTCCTAAGTGTACATATTTATAGAAACCTTCATAAAAAATTAAACATTATAGATTTAAATACCTACGACCTAAAACATAAACTTACGGACTGGCTTCTAAAACAGGATTACTCGAACACAGAATCACTGCTGATCTACTCCAGATAAGAACTACTTTTTTTTCATATAATCACTACCCATTCACAACAAACTCTCTCTCTCTCACACACGCACACACACTCACGCACACACACACATTAACACACACACCCATCACAGACACATACATATATACATATAGAACCAACCAACAGCTCAAAATGGCACACTCGCAAACTAAACAGATAATTTAATTCTGACAATATTTTGGGGGATTGGCACTGTATGCCGTAATACAGGTCTCCTAGTACGGCAGCAGAGACAACCGTATTATTTGTATTGATAGTCTAAATTGTTTGTTTCAAAATGTACTGTTCAATATGCTTTTCAACTACAATATGTATGTATTTTTGTGAAATAAAGTATTATTATTATTATTATTATTATATTATATCATAGCAATCGGCCGTAGAAATAACTTTGTTTTTCATAGAAACATAAACTTATTTTGGCATTTGATAAAATAAATATTTACTTACTTACTTATCTATAATAATTATTTAACGTTTTTTTATATATTTACCAGACTGCGACGAGGCCCAAAAGAGATTTGTGTTTGACCTCTATGTATGTCTGATCCTATGTTCCTTCGTAATTACTAAACGGCGCAATTCGCAAACGATTATGATGATTCATATGTCGTTGAATTAGTCTTCATAACGCGAGTGTTAAAAAGTATATAGATATCATTAAAAATGAAAATAGCGGATCTTAAGCGTATTTATGTGCCTTGAAAAAAATTTTTATGTTCAAATCAATCGAGTGGGGTATCAAAATACAGGTTTTTAAGAGGCGATTGAAAAATATATATACAACTTTATAGTAGGGGAGCCCAAGAGGGGATTTTTGTAGTTACTCAAGCGCGGCAGATTAACATAAAAGAGGTTACCTTGCACTCTATTGAGTACTTTCACCATAATATAAGTCTTCTATATAAAGGGGCGCGTCTAGGGAAGCCGATTAAAATATTTAAAAAATGTTTTGATAAGGTAGAAATACTTGAAACCGTCAGATTAAGGTGTGGTAGGCTAGTCACATCCTGAAAAGTGTCCAATTCAATAATCTGCCGATTTGCACAAGCCGAAGAGGCAAAAATCGACTATAAAGTTTATGATGATAGAAAGTACGGAGATTGCCACCTTAATTATCTATTCTTTGATAATATAAAATTATATAATATTTACAATAAAACTATTCAATATATGACAGACATACTATCTACTTATATTATTATTTTTCCACTTTAATAGTATTACAGTCTAGAGGCTTGAATAGGCCTTAGAATTGATTAGAGTACCTACCTATTCGGGTCAAAAAAAATTGTTTTCTGTAAACGAAATTCTCGCTAGCGACCGGCGTTGGGATCTTTTTTAGTGTAGTTACACTTCCATGCCTCGGAACTTCCATCCTTCCATCCATCGCAACGGAGTATGATAGTGACGGAATAGACAACACCTATAATATCCTCTACGTATATCCATATCTATATCTTTTTAAATATATTTCCCAGATTGGTTAAGACTTAGACAAAAGTTCAATAATCCTTAATACATTGTATTTTGAGGTCTTATAATCATTCTGGATATAAATCAGTTCATTCAACTTACTAACATAATCGGACTACTATCATAAGTGCGAAAGTTCGTCCGTTACTTATTTAATGACATAGGTAGATGAATTTGGAAAATATTTAGTATCTACACAGATTGACCTGGAGAAGAAACACAAAAACTAAACTAACTGTAATTAAATAGTCCACAATTGAAAAGACATCTAACCTAGCAAAGCCCTATAGCCTGCTAAGATTATTAATAGTTAAGGCGCTTTTCTAGGTTGCTTGTATCGTTTAATTTCTTAGATTTATATTATAAAACATAGCCGAGCTTTCCACTTTTATCTTTTGAAAAAAATATTCAACAACAAAGTATTATCGATTAGAAGCTTTTTATGAAGTTAAGAAAAAATGATGTTAATAGTTAACCTAGATATCAAAACCTAGGTTGGTGCGGAAAGACAACTGCCATAGAATAATGCACCAATAACCGCAAATGTTCGAATTTACAACGCAAAGGTAACAAATATAAATCACTCACCTTCCCAGCTGGACTCTCTGTAAAGTCACATTTTTTTAACAAAAATAAATATGAACCACTATGGTCATGTCCTACTTCTTATATGTATAATGCATATCCCAAGTATATATTGTTAGTTCTTTTTAATTTAGTTTCTAGGACACAGAAGAAATTCTTAATTATATGAAAAATACATCACATTCTTATATTCTAAATACCAGTTCAATAGTAAATACCTTTTGATCATAATCATGTCAGGGAGCCAAATGTACTAATTTTCAGTTACTAAGAGACAAAGCATGTATACTTATTATTTTTATTTATCTTCCTTAAATATTCATTACACATATTTTCATTACTAACATAAGCTCTACTAGAAAGAATGTTTCCAAAAATACATAAGATCATGATATGGAAATTCGAACAGCCATAATATTAAAAAAAAAAAAGACTTCTCAAAATGATATTCATTGTTTATTACTTTAATCTGACAACTTTTATAATTGCGAAAGTTCGTGTGTTAGTTACTTGTTTGTGTCATTATCTAAAATTGCTGTACAGATTTAAAAGTTTGGTATATAGATATACCTAGAGCAACACATAGGCTACTATCGCACTTAGAGATGAAGCTAGGCCGAGCGGGCATAAGTTTTCATGAGGTAGATATCCCACAATATTAAACAAGTGTGTTGATATATATACATATATCCATTGTGTATAAAAATACATATTTGTGTATACATTTATTACTCCTTCACATTAACTCGGTTAGACAGATTTGGGTGAAATGTAATAAATAAATGGACATGACCTAAAATAACATAGGCTACTGTTAGGAACCCTGGGATGCACTGATTTATAGCTAACCAACATTATTTGTTGAATGTGAAATGGTTTCATGTTTCATTGTACTATAGAATTTAATAAAAATAAACAAAACTATCTGTAAAAAACAAATATATTTTCTTTTTATCAACATTTTTATAGTTACCTTTTCAAAAGGTAAAGTTAGTAATAATGAATTAACTCATACAGACAATTCCATATTAATGTGCAATTATAACACATCATTGGTATTATGAGTTTTCAAAATGTTCTATTATTGATACATGATTGTATATTATTAGCAATTAGCTTTATTTATATCAATAAGCTACAAGCATAATTTATCTTATCATAAAAACATATTACTTATATTTAAGGTTCAGGTTATCTTTAATGTTATGTTCTTTATAGACTTGAAAAATACTCAATAAGTTTTTCCTGTTTGTTAACATGAAAATTATGACTTTTTAGTTATAATGGCACAAGTTTAGTATATGGGACGCGGCCCCTGGTGGAGTGGGTGTGGGTGTATTTTTGGATAGGGGAGGTGATTGGGAGCCCAATATATGAAAATTATTTTGAGGAAACGTAGGAGTAAAAAGTTATTGAGACTTAAAGTTACAACATTTCCAATGGAAATGGAAATTTTCCATACATTATTTTGATAGTACCTGGCCTACCGAGCTTCGTTCAGAGTTTTTGGTCTAAAGTACAATTTTCTTTTTATTATTAAAAACAATAAACTTGAATATATATAAAAAAAACAAAAGTAAAAACTTTGTATGCGACCGATATCCTATATACTAAACTGCAGCCCTTATAAGTATTTAAGAATTACACCATTTTTTAAATAACATCACAGTCACAAAACTAAGTATTTTTAGGTTATAATCACTTTGCAGGTGCAGGAGCGGTTGGTGCACTGGCTACCCGTTGTTGGGCTGCTGAAAGCTGTGGTGTGTCTGTCGCCAGTGATCTTAATTGCTGCTCGGCAACTGCATTAACCATCTTTGTAACTGATGCTTTCATCTTATTGCGTTCAATTGCTTGTGCCTTACTTTTTACTGGGGCATTGCTTCTTTTTGTTACTGCTTTACCTTTGTTCTTTTTAACTTTTGCTCCAGATGGAAGTTTACTTTTAACTTTCATTTTCCCTTGAGCCATATTTATTTTACTTTTAAACTTTTAAGTTAAATAAACAAACACTTAATATTGTTATAAGATCTAAAAATGAATTTTATATATGCAGCAATATAGAATTTTACGAAACGTGGGCTTGACATTTGACTTTGGCATAAATAATGACAATTGACAAGTGACAGTTGAAAATAGCATAAGCACAGCTTATTCATATAAGGGCACAGCCTAAAAGAATGTGCCATAAAGAATTAATTCACGATATGTATAAATAAATTAACTGGAATAAAATATATTATTATCAGATGGACCATCTTCGATCAACAGAAGTATTGTTGATCGACCTGAACCATACATTGTTTTAATTACCTAAAGAGCACACAGGCATTTAATGAAGTTAGAAATATTATGCATAAAATTTAAACCTTTATTATTGTGAAGAATATTAATAAGTGTGGTTATTATTACTATCATTAAATTGACTTATTAATTCATTTCAAAAATAAGCCAATCAATTATTATTTATTTATAAGCCAATCAATTAATATTTATAAAACAAAAACAAACCTAACCTACAGGAACTGTACATTTTTCCGGGATAAAAGTAGCCTATGTGTTATTCCAAACTATAATCTATCTGTGCCAAATTTAATCCAAATCCATTCACCCATACTGTCGTGAAAGTATAACAAACATCCATACTCACAAAACTTTCACATGTATAATAATAACATAGATATAGATACTAATATAGAGTATAGATAATTATATAACTATTTTCCATCTCTATTATTATTTTCCTTGTGTCAGTACTTGTGATTATAATAAAATATATGCAACGATATAAACAGACAATAATCCTCAATTAACTAACGTTCCACGTGGGTGTAATTCAGCAACGATGTTTTTTTTTGGTTTCGAGGCGATCCTTTTAATATTCGTTGGCACGTGGAACTTTTTACAAAATATTTTAAAGGTGACATACTGTAATTTAACGAACAGAATATTGAGTACCATAATAGTGGTGGCTTTTTCTATACATTGAATAATTGATTAGTAATGGTTCATAAAAATCAAGTAATATTATTTACTTAATGTACTCTTGCAGTTGATTACTCTTGCAGTTACACAAATTACAAAATACACAAATTTTGAAACTGTAAACCGATATACTATAAAGTGTATTAATATGAAACTATTTTTAAAGTATTCGCTTTTTAATAAGTGTTACATTATGTACTTATGTAGGTATATTTCAAATATATGGCATATTTAAATTTCCAAATTAGTAATGAAAAGTATCTATTTAGTTAATACTTAATTGTTGTTATACTGATTTCATATATCAATTAGATACATAATGTTGGCACGTAGTCTTCTTTCGGTTATTCGGTAAAGGTAAGATTATGTAAATTGTAATTGTCTTTAAAAAGTTTTAATGCCATGACTATATATTCAAATATTAAAGGGCCTATAGGATATTAAATATATAAGGATATTAAATGATACTATTATAGTTTTAATTATTTTATTCATAAATCGACTGTTGTAGTATATGAATTCGAGTTTCAAGTTAAGAAATATACATAATATATTATATCTAAATATATTTTATGTACAGATAAATAGAAAAGTAGTCGAATATAATCAGCTATCGAAAGATTCGAGCGGCGAGAGTGCAGGCGACCGGCGAGAAGCGTTGCGGACGAGGGCGCAGCTCGCCATAAAACGTTTAGAAAAATAGATAAATCGCTCAAAAACGTCAGAATCAGTCGAAAGGATAGAAGAGTAGAGAGCGGGCTTGTAGAAGGCGGTCATCGTGTGTCACGCTGCCGGGGCCCATCTCACGCGTACTCCGTGTCCGTGGACAGCGATCGCTCCGCTGGCGAGCGCCTGCCGCTGGTCTCCGCCGCCGCTGGCTCGCCAGCTTGCGCCTGAGCGTACGCTAGGCTCTTTTGATAGCTGAACAACTGTCGTTCGAGCGAGTAATTTTCCGCCTGCAACGCAGCTATCTCACGTCTGAAAACACAATATTATATTAGAAAAGTATTAATAAAATATTTTAAATGAAAAATCTCTTCACATCTTTACCTCATTTGGTGAGCGTGTAATCGACAAAGATCATCATAGACATGATAGGTTGCTTGAAATAGAAGATATGTGTCAGTCCATTCTAGACGCACACGAAGTTCTCCACCTGCATGTAAGAAAGCACATCCAGTGCGAGAAACATCTTCAACTCTCAGAGCTGTTTCCATCATAATTCCTTCGTCCGCATTATCTTGTGCATAATAATGTTCGAAAGGTGCGCCGGGTAATTCTTCAGCCTCGGGTTCTCCTGGCGCAGGTGAGGCGCGCACTAACCATGCCGACCAACTCACATAGCGGAGATGATTACGAGGGACGTGGTGTACATCACGGTACAGCATATGCAATCGCACTGTTTCTGAATGCGTATCACAACGCAGAGCCCATGCTTGTTTATCGCGATCATAGCAGGTCGCCGCACGTCCAGCGACAGGAACTGCTAGCTCTGCTAAAGCTCTTGCCCACACTAGTTCCACCGTCAATCGGACACCTTTATGAAGAAGACGAGCAGGCGGACGTGGTGTCCAAGGTGGAGTTCGTCCTTCCGCATCGCAAAGACACTCTAGAGGCCCGGAATGTATGCGCCTGTCACCTTCACCAAGAGCCAGTGCATAGCGCACTCGACATCGCTGTCCCTCTCCTGATAGTCTTGCAAGACGTAACGTAAGTGGCTCTTTTCCAACACCTCCAGTAGCTGATACTGACCAATCAAATCCTGCAAAAGCTATCGGGGAAGTATCTAAGCGAGGAGCTCGTAACTCGCAAGAATAAAGTGTTCTGACACGTGACATGCTCAATTCTAGTTGGAATTCTCCCCGTGCATCTGCAAACTTGGCATTGAGCTCCGACAGCGAAACACAACGCCCACGTCCCTGCGCCGCGCATCCTGCGAAAAATCTGACTTGTTTGCCAGAGAAACCTTCATTGGCAGTAAAGTGGTCACGACTAAGCAAGGTAAAAGTGAAGTCTACGTAAACTCGCATGCCTTCGCAAACGCCCCGCCACACTAGGTATACACCTGAAACAAAGAGCATTATTTTAGTATAATATATATACTAAAAAAATTAACTTTGATTATACAAATGATTGATGAGATGATAAATGATTGATACAAACCCAGCGAGGCCTCGGTGCGACTGAAGGCGACAGCCCATCTTTGGTGTGCGCAACAGAAGTCCTTCGAAGTGACGTCGCGATCGGGCTCGCGGGTGGCGGAACGTGTGACCACGAAGGTGAAGATGTGCGTGTCCGCGCGGTCTTTTAGCCGCGTCGCGCGGTACAGCAACGCCATGCACTCGCGAGCCTCACGCCCGCCCCGCCTGCGCCTGCGTCTAAATAACAGCAATCCGCAACTATAAAACATTGTCCATATTTTAATCGTTTGTTAATGAAATTGATCACTTATTGTTATAATTATTTTAAATTTTGAAATATCAATAATTCAATTACTTTACATATCGTATTAATTTATGTCCTAACAATTGTTAGATTTCCGTTTACATTGCAAATTTTGTGGGGTTAAAAACACTACAAAATTTACAGCAATTTATTCACGTAAGATATCCCATAAGATATGCGTATGGGTAAGGGAAGCTATAAATTCCTAAGGAAATCAATTATCTTTCAGGAGCTTTTTATAGAGATGTTTTACGAGACATTATATTTCTTTTCGGAACTTGTTTATGTGTTACTTTATACCAGTTTATAGTCAAATTTATGGTTTATTACATTTTGTCAGGTATAATTATATCAAAAGAAGGTCCTGCTAATTATCTTATTTTACTCTTGATTATAAATATATAAATGTGATGATAGTTCATTAGAAACTTCGTATATTTTTAATGTACTTATTATTTCTATGTAGAGCCTAACTGGAACCCACGTTTTTATATACATAGGAATATACCTAGTATAGACTAATATAGTTTTGTTTTAGTTTAAATATGAGAGAAATTTTAATTGCTAATTTGATTCTTTCACTAATAGAAAACCACATTTTCCCTAGACTGCTTTTTATCATAGTATATCAAATGATTTCTGTGCGATCATCATTCTAATGACGGTCATATAACAATGGCGTTTGAAAATTTCAATCTAAATGTTTGTGACTTTTCTAAATCTTATCATGAATTTTATTTCATACTAGCGACTCACCCTCGCTTCGCTCGGGTTCATCCCTAGCTTGCTACCCAATACAAACTTTTATCCCCATTTTCACCCCCTTAAGGGATGATTTTCAAGGTAAAAATTATTCTATGTCCTTCCCAGGATCTCAAACTATCTTCTTACCAAATTTTATCTAAATCGGCTCAGTAGATCCAGATATTACCCCATATAACGTCACTAACTCACAAACTTTACCTCTCTATAATATTAGTATAGATTAGTAATGCCACAAAGGTTCTATTCCTGCATTTTTTTTGTGACATTTTTGTTATATTAAGGTTTATATAGGTATAAAGAAGAAGATACGGAGCTAAAGTTTAGTATACCTATAGTGCCAAAGTGCGACCGCCGCCGTCCTCGTGATTAGTAAGAAAGCGCGTTCCATACAATTCCTTTTTTAGTATTGTTATATAATCGTTGAAAAATGTTTTTTTTTTTAATTGTATTAAAAAGCCAAAAACTTCTTAAATTTCTATTCTTAAACGATTGTAAAATGACATCTTGTCTATAAGCCCCCATGTGTAACAAAGTAAAAAAAATTTCAACGAGTAATTATAAATGGGGTCAGATATTATAAAATCTGCAAATATTAATATTATAAAATTTGAATTCGATGGATATTGCAAATAAAATATATTGAGTTGAAGTGGCTCTTCTGAATTTATAAGAGCGTAGAATTTCTTTTAAAGGTATTGGATTAATATTTGCTAGATAATTTACATATTAAACAGAATTGCGAGTCAATTTATGGGCTAGAATTCTTTAGAAGAAATACAAACATTATTACACGCTTTTATTTAACTTGCAATGTTTGTATGAATATAGGTTCGGGTCAAATCTTACAACTGAATTTTAAAGCAGTTATACTCAACCGATTGAACTGAAATTGTGCATTTGTTGTTTTGTTTGGAGGACAATGCAAGATTCGCTTAGTGACGTTATTCTAAATCCAATATGGCGGACTCGAAAAGATGGCGGACTATGTTTTTTTATGCACCCCCATGATATGGATATGGAATAAAACGGTTTGCTGAGAAGAATACGATTAAAATAAAATCTCAAAAATAAATGAATAGTAAAAAAAACATTTTCAAAAACTAATTTTATTAAAAGGTTTTAAAAAGAAGAAAATAAACTTTAAATTAAATCAAACCCATCAATTTATTACATTACACAATTTACATATATGTATATATACCTACATATAATGTAAAAGCTTGTCGCGAGATTTACCTCTGTAGATAAACAAGAATAAAATAGAATGTAACTTGATCTTCGCATAAGTACCTAATTGTAAGAAAAAAATAATGTTTTTTATATAAAGTAGGTAAACCTCGCGACAAGCTTTTAAATTATATATTTAAATAGTGTAATATAATAAATTGATGGGTTCGATTTAATTTAAAGTTTATTTCTTTTTAGAGCATATATAAACAAAGAAAAGCATATAAATACAAGAAATATATTTTTTTATTATTTTTATTTAAGAATGTTTAACAAACATTTAACGAAAACGAAATTAAAGTAGATTGTTATGTTATAGTAATAAATAATAATCCTAAGTCTATTATAGCTTTGTCTATACTCATTATTTACTAAGATATGTACTGCCGGCGGCCTCACCAGCTCGTGTTCTTCCTCGCGTGTCTAGTTCATAAACCTCATATTATGCTTTGTTACAAATTTAAGATAGTAAAAGTCAAGCAATGATTAAAAAAGATATAAATTACATTTTTAATTTCTTCTTTACAATATTAGTAATCAACTAACCTTAACATGTAAAGCACTTCTTAAATACATTGCACTTTATAATGTGATCTGGACTTTAAAGTGGCCATCCATTTATTAAATATTTAACAGATATTGCATCTACCAGCCTACTAAAAAGAGAATATTATAAAACTTTTAACTTTAATTACTTAGCTTCAACAAATGAATTCGTATCCCAGGTGACAACAACCTTGTTACGGTTTAATACTAAGCAACTTGTTATCCTGTTTGTAATATCAGTGTTAAGCGCAAATAAAGTTAAATTAAAAAAGTTTTAACCGCTATCGCAACTTAGAACAATTTAAGTAATAAAAGAAAAGTAACAAGATGAAGACCTAAAAAACAATTTATCCAGTATTAATGTTAAATGAATTAGTGACCTCCTACAGCTTTGCTAACGCTTTAAGTGACACATTTGCGAGTAAAGTATGATGAACTAATGGTTTTATTCAGACAAAGAAGTTATCAAATATAAGAACTTCCCTAATGTAGCATTTCTTACATCCATATCAAAAATCATAATATCTTAAAGAATATTTAGTCTTGAGCGCTCGCCATTTCTTTACTATTTCCAACATAAAATTAGGTAAGTATTATAAATCAAATGTAATCAATTAAACAGAAATAAAATTTGCGAAGGCAGTGGTAGTCCAGAGGTAACGCGCTTGCTTGGAAGACCAAGTGAAGCGGGTTCAAATCCCGCACCTCTGATATTCTCATGCACGAATAATTTTTCAACATGATTACCATTTGCCTTACGGTGAAGAAATACGTCGTGAGGAAACCTGGATGAATGACAGAACTTAACGAGATTTCAAAGAGGCATATGAAGTCCGCAAAACCAGCACTTGATCCGCGTGGTGTTATGGCTTGATTCCCCTCGTATTGAAGGTAGGCCCGTGCCCAGCAGTTAGACATTAAAAAAGGCTAAATACAAATAAAATTAAAAGTTTAAGTATACAATTTCTTGTTTTGAAAAGTCATTAGAAATCTTGTGAATATTGCTAAACAAAGGATTTACAACTTATGGGACCCTGATTGATAACAGTATGCAATATTATGTATGTTGTATGCGCTATTCAGCAACCTTCGCTGGCGTGCACACAACAACTCATTAAAGTTAACCGCAATCGCATGAATGGGAAGCACGAGGATTATATGCTTTAATTGGACGAAATATAATTTATTCTAATATTTTAGATTCGTAATAAATAAAACACCTCTTTAGTATAATTTTAAAGGCTGTTTGTCGACCGTTAATTGGATAATTAAGAAAATTATTCGTCCGACAATTGTCGGTTTATCAATCAAAAATATCTGCTACTTTTTTGTTTTTTAATAAAATATAGTTGATATTTTTACAAAAAAAAGATAGAAATTTGAATTTTTTATGTCCCAACCTATCGGATTATAAAGATTTTTTTAGATTCAAGAATTTTATGTGTAAAAAAAAAGAAAAACGCCACCTATGGAGCATGGAATCGATTTTTAAGAGAATATACTGTGCTAGAAAAAAAGTCCATTTGCTCATGTTCGGAACGTAATATTTTAACTTAGAAATCATTATTGTTCGATAACTTGTTGTTGTGAATTCTATTCTTGATAGAAACATTAAAAAGTCGCAGATTTATACCACAAAACCGAGAACAGCCAAACGAATGATATATTTTTATTCATCCGATTATAGGACGACTTCCAATTTTAAATATAAAATTTACATTATATTACATTTTATGAGTTAAAATTATACATACAAATTTAGTACATAATATATGGTTGACTATCATCATGGTATCATCAATCATGTAATGCCTGAGTTTGGCGTGTGTCCGATTTGCACAGTTCGATTCATCTCCTATAGTGTAGGTTTTCATAATTACAAGCCAGTGCTAGCGGTTCTGCCCACATATATTTCTATTTACTTCTCAAAAATATAAAAGCCTACATATAAAAAATACAAACTTCCATTACAATGCGTCAAGCCATCGACAAATTTAATTAATAGACACTATAAACAGATAGAAAGTTCTAAAAAATATTAATTTGGTTTCTATTACATTCTAAATAAACGGCAATTGGTACCAAATCTTTAAATCAGTCCGGTTTAGACAAACCATGTACCTGTAGTAAATGGTTTTTTTTTGATAAATTACTGTCCTTGCTACATATTTAAAACGCAAAATAATTATACATGATAGGAAGAGCGGTAGTAGTTTAAATAACAAAAAACTAGAAAATGAATAACAAGATTAATATGTAAAAATATATTGCAAAGCAGTGTTTTATCACACTTTTATTTCCTCAGGAATATCAACAAAACCTTTTACCATACAAAGTGAGTAATGAAAATAAAATTCACGCCCAAAATTCTGTGTAATGTAATAAATTTTTATAGAAACGTCTAAATTATGTATGTATGGGAAGATA